TGGGTCTGCGTTGTTTTATTTTTTAAAATATATTTTATTGATTTTTTTTACAGGGAGGAAGAGAGGGATAGAGAGTTAGAAACACTGATGATCAATCAGCTGCCTCCTGCACATCCCCCACTGGGGTGTGCCTGCAACCAAGGTACATGCCCTTGACTGGAATCGAACCCGGGACCTTTCAGTTCTCAGACCCACACTCTATCCACCCAGCCAAACCAGTTTCGGCGGGTCTGCGTTGTTTTAAATTTGCGAGCTTTTGAGCTAAACAGAGATTTAGTTAGATGATTAATCTAGATGAAAGGAAGATCTCAAATAAGACTAAACAGCCAAGGGGGGGCTGGGTGGAGGGCGATGGGGGGTGGGGGGTAAGGGGATATCTGTAATACTATCATCAATAAAAAAACAAGCTTAAAAAAATAAAATAAAAATAGAAGATTCATGCTCCCCTCCCCGCAAAAGAAAGACTAAACAGCCAAGCTCTGCCTTTTTTCCTAATGGAAGATTCCTCTGTGGTGTTTAGCTTCAATGAAATGTTTTAGGTAAGGACCATCTCAGTGTCAAATCAGCTCATTACAGAGCTTGGCTTCACCCAACTAATTGTGAACTTTTATATTTATCTGGATGTCAAAGTTTGGAAAACATTTTAGATAACATGAAAAGACACACAACTTAACCGTTCACAAATTATTATTATTATTATTATTTTTAATATATTTTATTGATTTTTTACAGAGAGGAAGGGAGAGAGATAGAGAGCTAGAAACGTCGATGAGAGAGAAACATCGACCAGCTGCCTCTTGCACATCCCCTACTAGGGATGTGCCTGCAACCAATGTACATGCCCTTGACCGGAATCAAACCTGGGACCTTTCAGTCCGCAAGCCTACTCTCTATCCACTGAGCCAAACCGGCTTCAGCTGTATACAGGTTTTAAATGCTCAGGAGAGTTCTTTTGGGTCATCTGGTGAATATATGTTAAACTTTACAAGAAACTGCCAAACTGTTATCCAAAGTGGCTGTATCATTTAACATTTCCACAAGTGGTATATGAGAGATCCATACATGTGGATGACAAGTTTCTCTGCATTCTTGTCAGCACTTGGTATTGTGAAATATTTTTATTTTGGAATTCTAATAGGTGTGTAGTAGTCATCATGGCTTTAATGGCTGATGATATTGAATGCTATATGTGTTTTTTTGGCATCTTGATAATATCTCATCAAGATTTTTGCCTAGCCCTACCTGGTTTGGCTCAGTGGATAGAGCATCAACCTGCACACTCTAAGGTCCTGGTTTCGATTCCAGTCAAGGGCACATGCCCAGATTATAGGCTCAACCCCAGTAGGTGGTGCGTAGAAGGCAGATGATCAATGATTCTCTCATCATTGATGTTTCTATCTCATTGATGTTTCTAACTCTATCCCTCTCCCTTCTTCTGTGTAAAAAATCAATAAAATATATTTTTAGAAATTCTTGCTGGGATTTTCATAGGAATTGTATTAAAGCTGGAAATAAATTTGAAGAGAATTTATATCTTTACTGTTAAATCTTCCAATACACAGACATGACAACACGGCTCTCTATTTACTTAGATTTTTTATTTTTTTCATCAGCATTTGTAGATTTTTAGCATATAGATTTTGTAGATGTTTTGTTAGATGTATATGTAACTATTTCTCCCTTCTCTCCCCATCTATGCAGTAACTATAAATGGTATGATTGTGTTTTAAAATTTAGTTTCCAATTGTTTATTGCCAGTGTGTAGAAATACAATTGATTTATATATATATATATATATATATATATATATATATATTATTGATTTTTTACAGAGAGAAAGAGAGAGGGATAGAGAGTTAGAAACATCGATGAGAGAGAATCATCTATCAGCTGCCTCTTGCACACCCCCTACTGAGGATGTGCCAGCAACTAAGTACATGCCCTTGACCAGAATTGAACCTGGGACCTTTCAGTCCACAGGCCAATGTTCTATCCACTGAGCCAAACCGGTTTTGGCCAATTGATTTTTTATATATTAATCCTGTATACTGCAAATTTCTTAAACTCATTTATTAATTATAAGTTTTTTTTATAGACTCTTGGTTTTTTTTTTATGTATATAATCATGTCATCTGCAAATAGAGACAGTTTTATTTCTTCATTTCCAATCTATATCCTTTTCTTGCCTTATTGCATTGGCTGGAACTTCCAACAGTAAGAGTGGTGAGAGAAGACAGTCTTTTGAAAGAAAGTTGGCCTTGCCCAGCCTGTGTGGTTCAGTGGTTGAGTGTGGGCCTATGAACCAGGAGGTCATGGTTTGATTCCGAGTCCGGGCACATGCTGGTTGCTGGCTCAATCCTCAGTAGGGGTCATGCAAGAAGCAGCTGGTTAATGATTCTCTCATTATTGGTGTTTCTTCCCATCTCTCCCTCTCCCTCTCTGAAATCAATAAAATAAAAACAAAAAGAAAAGTGGCCAGTCTTTTACCATTAAGTATAATGGTAGTTGTAGGTTTTTTGTAGATGTTCTTTACCAGACTGAAGAAGTTTCTTCTATTCTTTGTTTGCCTAACATTTTTTAAATCATAAATGTAATGCTTAATTGTGTTAAATAGTTTTTCTGCATAAGTTGAAATGATCATGTGAATTTTTTTCTTTAGACTGCTAATGTTTTATATATATACAAAAAAAAAGAAACTTTATTTAAAAATACTTTACAGCCCTAGCCGGTTTGGCTCAATGGATAGAGCATTGACCTGTGGACTGAAAGGTCCCAGGTTCCATTCTGGTCAAGGTCACACGCCCAGGTTGCAGTCTTGATTCCCAGTAGCAAGTGTGCAGGAGGCAGCCTATCAATGATTTCTATCATCATTGATGTTTCTTTCTCTCTTTCCCTTCCTCTCTGAAGTCAATAAAAAATATGTTTAAAAAATATTTTACAGACATGGTGCTTGAAAAAGCTCTTAGTTAACGTGTATATAAATGAAAAAATTAATAAATAACATTAGTACAACAGACCTGAACATGAACACACTGGCAAAACAAATGGACTTAAAATGGAAATGGATCTTAAAGCCTTCTGTTTTCTATAGGAATATTTACCTGCTGTTTTTCTTGTTTTTTATAAGTGAGAAAGATTAAATACTGTGAATCTAAAGTTTCTTATAGTAATGACACACTTTTAAAATAGCCAACAAAAATCCCACCTACGCTTTCTGTTTAACTTCTGCACCGATGCACAAAGCAAGGCTCTTTGTCCCAGAGAAGCATCAGCTCTCCGGCCCCACCCAGGCCAAGAATGTTGTCACATTAGGAGAACCTTAGAGAGAACTGTTTCTAGCTCCACATTCTTTATTAGTTAAAGGCAGGGAAGAACTGAGAAAAGGGAGAGAAAAAAGTAAAGTGCTATTACATAAAAAACATTTTTTTTTCCATTCCCCTCTGAAACCTAGTGGTCACAATTCTGAAGACAGGCTCTTGGTCACGGTTCTTGCTGCCTTTTCCAGGGAAAACTCCATCCCCAGAGAGGGCACTCACTGCTCTAAGTATGAAAGCTTCCAACAAAAGGGAGGCATAATGTGGTAGATATGTGGATTGAGTTCCTTTATTGTCTATATATCATTGATTTTTGCTCTTTATTTTGTCCTCCCATTTTTAAAAAATATATTTTATTGCTTTTCTACAGAGAGGAAGAGAGAGGGATAGAGAGCTAGAAATATCGATGAGAGAGAATCATTGATCAGTTGCCTCTTGCACCCCCCCACCGGGCATGTGCTTGCAACCAAGGTACATGCCCTTGACTGGAATCGAACCTGGGACCCTGCAGTCCGCAAGCCAACGCTCTACCCACTGAGCCAGACCGGTTTCGGCTTCCTCCCATCTTTTGCTTTGGCTTTATTTGGCTCTTCTTTTTCTAGTTCCTTGAGGTGGAAGCTTAGATTATGCTTCCCTTCTTTTAAAAATACTGAGCAGTTTTTCAGAGTACTCCTTGGTTCCCCGAAGAGAGAGAGAGAGAGAACGAACTATGGGCTTTAACTAGTGCTGGAGTTCTTTCTAACCTGCAGTAAAATAAGGTTAGACTCCACCCTAGGCAGCTAGAGAGGTGCCTTGGGGCCATAAAAATTCCAGCTCACTTGTGTAGGCTTCCAGTTTACAAGGTTATAGTGGACTTCACAACCGCTTGGCAAGACAGGAATTACCCCATTTGAATGATGGGAAAACTCAACCAGAGTAGTTCGAGATCGCCCAATGCAGGTCTAACGCATTTCCAAAGGGAACTCTCCAGAAGCTGCACCAATCTGGGCAGAGAACTCCCCACTGGTCTTAGGGAGCCAGGAACACCCCGCCCCCCAGTGCTTCGCCTCGCCCTGCCCGCTAGGGGGCGCACGTTCCTTCTCCCAGGCCTCGGGAAGCCACCAAAGAACCGGTGGGTGATAGTAGAGGGGGGTGAGCAAGCGCACCCCGAGGGAATCGTGAAACCTGGGCCTCATAGCTTGGATCCCCAAGGGGTGGGCCCGGGGTCAGGCCGGCAACAGGCAAGGGAGAGGGGCAGATCCACGTGAACCGCAGGGAAGTCCAGGGACGCTGTGCTCGGTCGAGGACCACCCCCTCACCATTCAGCGCCCCCCTCCGTATTCGGGCAGCCGGGACCTGGGGCGAGAGGTCAGTTCTGTCAGCTCTGTCACGCCTCCTCGGACCAGAGGAGCCGCGATGGATGCAGGAGCCCAGCCTTGTCTTTGGGCTCCTCTGCGATCCCATTCTTCTGAGTTCCCTGCATTCGCTGCTGTCATCGCAAGGCCCCCACCCACATTCTTCATGCCCCTGGAATGGCCGCTTCCCCCGGCACCCCCACAGGACCCCTCTCTCCCCCCAGGACCCCTCCGAGCGCCGGGAACTAGGTCTGGCCTAGGGGAGCGGGCCGCCTCCTCCCCTGGCTGGGCCCCGCCCCGCCCCTGGGCCCGCCTCCCGCAGAGACACGTGGTGCAGCCCTCGCGGCCGGAAGCCTCGCGCGACTCGGGCGCCTCGCGCGGCTGCTCCCGCGGCGCCGGACTCGGGGCGGGAACCCGGAGGCCGGGAAGGGGATTCGTGGGTCTCGCAGGAGCCCGTGTCGCCCGCGATCTGCGTTCCTGCTGAGCGCCCCTTTCCTTCGCTTTTTCGGGTCTGGGGCCCTGGCCGCATCCTCCTTCAGGCCGGTTGGCACAGAGTAAGTGACCGAGCAGGGGAAAGGGCCGCGCATGCAGGAGGCCACCCTGGACCGGAGAGGGTGGGCACGACAGAGCCAGGGAGGCGGGTGGCGATGGAATGAATGAATGGAGCTGGCGGGGGGGGGGGGGGGGGGGGGAGATACGAGGAAGCTCGGGGGTAATGGGCGGGGACTGAGGCCGGAAGCGAAGAGGGGCACTGCGTGCGCCCCCTCCTGGTTACACCTTTTGGACAGGAAATGTAGTAGGAAAGTGAGCCAAGTCACTTGTCACCCCTTGCTGATCTTGTCTCTCTCTCTCCCCACCCCGCCCCCTCCAGCCAGGGTACGCCACATGGCAGAAAACCGAGAGCACCGAGGGGCCGTGGAGCCTGAGCTGGATCCAGTGGAGTACACCCTTCGGAAGCGACTGCCTCACCGCCTGCCCCGGAGGCCCAATGACATTTATGTCAACATGAAGACTGACTTCCAGGCCCAGCTGGTCCGCTGCCAGAAGCTGCTGGACGGCGGGGCGCGGGCTCAGAACGCATGCACTGAGGTCTACATCCATGGCTGGGGCCTGGCCATCCATCGTGCCATCAACATCGCCCTCCGGGTGCAGGCGGGCAGCTTCGGCTCCCTGCAGGTGGCCGCCAACACCTCCACAGCGGAGCTTGTTGACGATCTGGAACCAGAGACTGATGCCCGAGAGCCGCTGACCCGCATCAGAAACAACTCCGCCGTCCACATCCCAGCGTTCAGGGTCACACCGAGGTAATTAAAATGAGTCTGGCTCACTTTACCCAGCCACCCTCAGCTGGGCTCAGGTATGACTCTCCTTGTACTCAGTGCTGTCCTGGACCTCCTGCCAGTCAGGAAAAGCCTGTCTTCTCGTGGCCCAAAGGATTCTGAATTGAGAGCGTGGAAGAGTGTCTCTGGTTGGGCCCAAGCAATAGGCCTTCCTGAGTCTCTGTGGTCTGTGAGCAACCATCGTCCCAGACAATAAAAGGTATCGAGTTGTGTTATCGTCCATTCACCCCACTGCCACTGCCTTTCCCCTGTGTAAGGTCTGTGTGTGCTTGAAAAGAAGAGTAGGAAACCTGACAAGTATGTAAATATAGGAGGGAAACATGAGGCGCCTTCACAGAGAGCATACATTGTACTATGGACAGTGTAACAAACTTTAATACAATGCAGAATCCTGACAACCCAATGTTTGCTTTAAAATTTCTCATTCTCTCAGAGGCGGGTCGAATGGATAAGGCGTACACGTTTGCCTCTGAATGCAGCTGGGATAGTTGTATGCTCAGAAGCATCAGGCTCTGGTAGAAGTTCCCAGGCACAGAAAAGGGGGGCGGTTAAAAATGAAAGAAGCAAAAACTAGGGCCTCTGTGGTAGGGATTGGCACATGGCTTCATTCAGTTCTTGGTCCTGCAGAGCCAAACTTCTAAGCAACTATGGTCCAGAGCCCTTCAGACCTTTCTGGCTAGGCTGCTCTTGTGGGAAAAAAAGCCTCTCCCCTGAATTACTGGGCACAGATAAATACTTTATGTTTGGATAGTTTTAGAAAGATCAGATTTCTCATGTTTATCAAACCAGAGTCATCTAAAGCAATGTTTATCAAAGTGGTTGGTGATCTATTTGTGGGTCTTGTAATCAATGTATTGGATCGTAGATTTAAGAAGCAAGTAGAGCCGGCACCGGTTTGGCTCAGTGGTAGAGCGTCGGTCTGCGGACTGAAAGGTCCCAGGTTCGATTCTGGTCAAGGGCATGTATTGTACCTTGGTTGCGGGCACATCCCCGGTAGGGGGTGTGCAGGAGGCAGCTGGTCGATGATTCTCTCTCATCAATGTTTCTAACTCTCTATCCCTCTCTCTTCCTCTCTGTGAAAAATAAATAAAATATATTGAAAAAAAAAAGAAGAAGAAGAAGCAAGTAGTGTCCTAGCTGGTTTGGCTCAGTGGATAGTGTTGGCCTGCAGGATGGAGAGTCCTGGTTTGATTCTGGTCAAGCACACATGCCTAGGTTGTGGGCTCCATTCCCAGTGTGTGGCCTGCAGGAGGCAGCCGATCAATGATTCTCATCATTGATGTTTTTCCCTCTCCCTCTCTGAAATCAATATTTTTTAAAAACAAAAAACTTTAACCCTCACCCTAACCGGTTTGGCTCGGTGGATAGAGGTCAGCCTTCGGACTGAAAGGTCCCAGGTTCAATTCCAGTCAAGGGCATGTACCTTGGTTGCAGGCATATCCCCAGTAGGAGGTGTGCAGGAGGCAGCTGGTTGATGTTTCCCTCTCATCGATGTTTCTAACTCTCCTTTCCTCTCTGTACAAAATCAATAAAATATATATATATATATATATATATATATATATATTTTTTAAATATATTTTATTGATTTTGTACAGAGAGGGAGGGAGAGAGATAGAAAGCTAGAAACATCGGTGAGAGAGAGTCATCAATCATCTGCCTCTTGCACACCCCTTACTGGGGATGTGCCCGCAACCAAGGTACATGCCCTTGACCGGAATCGAACCCGGGTCCCTTCCGTCCCCAAGCCGACGCTCTATCCATTGAGCCAAACTGGTCTCGGCTAAAATATATATTTTTTAAAAAACAAAAAACTTGAACCCTCAAAGACAATTAAAAGCAAGTTGAAGAAAGTGCAACTTAAATGGCCGTGTTGTTGCCAATTTTTCAGATAACAATGTGTTTATATATACACACTAGAGGACCAGTGCATGAAATTCTTACACAGGTAGAGTCTCTAGGCCTGGCTGGTAAGACCTTCCTTTTGGCTGCCAGCGGGGGCCTTTCTTCATTCTGCACCACCTCCTGATGCTCAGCACATGTCATAGTGAGCAATTGAATTCCTGGTCTCCAGGTCGAACTCCAAGGGGGACAATTTACAAGTTAGGCTGTTATATATAGAGAAGATACGTACTAGGTATGTAAATTGTTTTACTGTGGTTGAAATCAAGTTTGAAAAGCATCTGATTTAAAGGTTAGTAACAATTTTATTCTAGGTTGTTTGAAGGTAGTTTGATTTGGGTTTTGAAAACCAGACTTCTCATTTATTGAAATCCCTCCTGGCTTGACTATTCCTATTGATGAGGGACTTTGATGCTGGGTGAGTGACTGCCAGTAAAGTGGATTCCTTACAAAAGGACCAGGGCTTCATTCAAACAACTAAACATGCTGAGTACCTACTGTGAGCCAGGGCTTGGTTTGGGCCCTGGAGATACAAAGGAGTGGATATAAAATGGTCTCTGACTTCAAGGAGTTCATCATTTCACTGGAAAGGTGGATACACAGTGTTGTGAATGTGGAAGATGTGTTATAAAAGAATTAAAAAGTAGTCATGATATGGAAATGTGGAAAAGGAAATGCTAACTTCCTGGTGGGGTCCAAGATGGTTTCACCTTTGACTTGGGTTTTGAAGGATGAATAGGAGTAACAGGCAAAAAAAAAAAAAAAAAGGGGGAGAGGGCATATCTGGTAGAGGAGTTGGTATGCACAGAGGGGATTCATGAACAGGCAGGACATGTTCTGGGGCTGGAGGGTCACTCAGTGGCTAGAAAGCAGGAGGTGAGGGAGACAGGGGAGATATTCCTATCACACCCCTTAGCCTCATAACCCTGTCATCCTTGATTGCAAGGCTCCCTTACCCTGTAGCCCTCCAGTAGCAGAGGGAGCTGGATGGAACTATGTGTCTCCCCGCACGTATGTGTTCTTGTGTCTACGCTTCTGGCCTGGGCCCAGCTGAGGTGGTGGCAGGCAGCCTTCTGCATTTGGTTTGTTTTGGCAGCTCTGTCTCCTAGCCTATTTGTTTGTTGTTTCTACTCCATGTTCTCTCACTGCTTGCCAGTGCGGCTTCCCTCAGCGGCAGTTTTATAGAAATAGCCTTTGAACATTGGACAGTGTGAGGGCTCACCCTTGAGTGTGTGAGGGCATGTAACAGATGAGGGGAAGACTTCTGCATCTATTGGAGTCCATGCCTAGTGGGAGGGGCAGGGAACTCCATCCCATTTGGAGTGAGGCTGACTCTGGCTTCTGTCCACCCTCCATCCCCAACTTCTACTGGCTCTCTGAAGTGTCTTTTATCAAAACTTGGGAAACAGGGGAAGGTATGTCCAAATGCAATTTCCCTCCCTTCTTTTTACTCAACAGCTGCAGAGCCCACAATAAGTGCATAATTACCTCCTATTTAAAAAACATGCTCAGAGGCGAGAATTCAGACGCTTAGCTTGGAAGTGGGTGTAGACATGTGTCATCATCCATAGCGTTATTGAGCATCCTTTATTTGTAGGGATTCGTGTTAGGAGCCAGGCCTGCCTGGAGAGGTATAACCATTGGTCCTGTGAAGTCTAATAGGAAGCAGCACGGATAGACTTAAAAAGACAGATAATTTGCATGGTGTTTGGAACTGTGTTGGTGTTGGTAAAGGCTACTATTGTTAGTATGACGTTTTGCTAAGGATTGGCTTGGAGCCTCTTAGTGTAACTAGGGAGAGGGGAAGGAAGGTGATTTGTGTGTGTGTTCAATTCACAAGGCTGGGTTATTAGTTTTGTCAGCTTTTCATTGTGGTTGTCTGAGAGGGAAGGCCCTCAGGACACATACCTTTTTTTGTTGTTGTTAATCCTAACCTGAGGATATTCTTTTCCATTGATTGTTTTTTTTTTAAGAGTGTAGAAAGGAGGTGGGAGGGATGGGGGGGGGGAGAGAAAGAGAGAGAGAGAGAGAGAGAGAGAGAGAGAGAGAGAGAGAGAGAGAAAGGAAAGAAGGAAGGAAAGAAGGAAGGAAGGAAGGAAGGAAGGAAGGAAGGAAGGAAGGAAGGAAGGAAGAAATTGACTCGAGAGAGATATCATTGGTTGCTTCCCGCACTCGCCCCAATTCAGGCTAGTGAATGAACCAGCAACCCAGGGACATCCCCTTAACTAAAAATCAAACCCGTGACCACTCATTGAGGAGGAGGATGCTCTAAACACAGCACACTGGCCAGGGCCCACATCCCTTTTGAACCTATGGGGAAGCTGGACTAGGAGTGTGTGTCTAATGTAGTTCCTTAGGAAAGCGATGTCCAGCTGCACAGAGATTTGGAGTGAGGTAAGGTCATCCTACCAAGAAAGAAGTTTATGAAAATGACCACTTAAGATGCCATCTTCCTAATGGTATTATGGGTGCTTTTTAGTTTATGTTTTTTAGCCATGTTGTCTTAGTTTTTCAATGGTCATGTGTGTTTTTTTCTTAATGTATAATATTAACTCTTTTTAAAAATTGATTTGAGAGAGAGAAACATCGATTTGTTGTTCTACTTATTTGTGCATTTATTGGTTTTCTTGTATATGCTCTGACGGGAGATAAGCCCATGGCCTTAGCATATTGGGACAACACTCTAACCAAATGAACTACCTGGCCAGGGCTGTATTATTATTGTAATAAGAAAAGTTAGTTTTTTACAAACCCTGTTCTTCTGTTCTCCATCTAGGTGGGGTGATCATCAAACTGATGAGATTACCTCAAGGAGAAGTGATTTCACTGCCCAGTCCAGTAAGGAATAAATATCGGATGGATGGACGGATGGAGGATGAATGGGTGGCTGACAGTAAGACAGCTTGCTGTCTACTCTGTAACAAGCCTCTGCTCCCTTGAGAAACATCAAATGTCTTGTCACTGGAAATATGCAAGCAGAGCTTCATCTTCACGAGACCTCCTAGGTTCCTTCCAAGTCCATGCATCTTGTTTGCTGCAAGAAAAATATACTAAATACCGGAAGATACTAAAATTATTTGCAGGTTCACGAAATAAGACATGAACAGAAGTAGGAAGAGCCTACAGGACCACCAGTAGAGTTCGTGCAAAATCCTTAGTCCCCACGCTCCATGTTAACAAAATGAAACGTTTGTATTCACAGGTGTACCCCTGCGAAGACCTTACGTAGGAGAAAAACGTCACTCCCGTTAATACTTCAAGTAGTGTTTGGTTTCCATGAGGACTTTCTAATTTTTGCTTGGGCAGGAAAGTTCCTCT